AACCACATCCATTCTGGAATACAAATGAGGAAGCTTTTCACAGCAGCAGTTCACCCAGGGAAGGCAGTTGTCTACTGACAGCTGCCACCAAGTCCCCCTGAGCAGTGGCCTCCACAGACTACAGAAAACAGCAGCTTCTGGCACAGAGAAAGGTGCTCTCATCTTTACATATCTGACTTACTAAACCTGCAGTGCAATTTTTACCAAGGGGTTTGTTTCCTTCCTGTGATAGTGTCACAAGATAAGAATCGTGTGTGGTTTCCCAGTGCTTGCTCAACAATCTTCCCCGGAGATTTTGAAGCATCTGGGGCACATCCTCAGCACCACAGTAGCAGCACAGAAGGAGAGCTACCGAAAGAGCACACTGCAGAAACCTCTTAAACAACACGAGTTAATTTCACCCTTAACTTCAAATCAGGAAGTCGTCTTATTTATCACAGCACGCAGTACGTTGTGTGTTCCTGCAACTGTTAGTGGCTCTTTGCTACCTCAATAACTTACAGGCAGCTTTCCTTCTCTGGTCTGTATTGACCAGAGACACAGGGAAGTGCCTTGCTGCCTGATACACCTTTCTCATTACATGAAGCCTGAGCTCTGGAGATGTCCAGCACACAGAGGAGTAACAAAGAAGTTGCTTTCTGTGTTGGTGTTTCATTTTCCAAAGGCACAGCTCAGATTTCTGGTTGTGATGAGATAAAACAACCGGGTTGCGCTCCTTCCACCTCACTACGCCTTAAAATCGTGTCAGGGAGCCGCCGGTGCAGCTCACCCTCAGCCCGAGCGCCCACCCAGCACCTGGCGCTCATTGTTCGCCCTCCCTCCCGCTGCCTTTCGGCGCACGGCCGGAGCTCACCTGCTCTCGGGCTCAGCGACTCCCACCTGAGCAGCGAACAGCGAGCCGAGCCGCTCCGACCGCCCCGAGCCAAACCCGGGGAGGAAACGCGGGGTGGGCACGGAGCCGCTGAGGGGCAGAGCCCAGCCCCAGGCGCCGTGGGGCAGCGGGGCAGGCCGGGCCCGCAGGGGTGGGAACAAAGCGCGGCTCCGTGCCGGGAGGCGCCGCCTGCCCCCCCCCTCAGACGGGCACGGACTCCGAGCCCCCCCACCCCCCCTCAAAGCGGCCCCGTGCCCAACGCCCGCTCCCCCCCCCCCCCCCGCCCCGCCCTCGCGCTCCGTTTCCGTTGCAGCGCGCGCGCGGCCCCCCCCCGCCCAACGGTCCCCGCCAACGGTCGGCTCCCTCACTCACCCCGCCGCCGCCCCGAGGAGGCCGCCCCGAGGAGCCCGTCCCGTCCTGTCCCGTCCCGTCCCGCCGCAGGCCGCCGCTGGGTGAGCGGGAGCCGCCCGGCGCCGCCGGCTTTATCCCGCCGCCGCCTCTCCCCTCCGGTAACTCCGCGGCCCGGCCCGGCCCCGCCCCGCCCGGCCATTGGCGCGCGGCGCCCCACCGGCAGCCGACGCTGAGTGGGGAGCGCGCGCGGCACTCACGCGATGCCACCCCCCCGCTCGCAGCCCATTGGCTGTCGAAGGGAAGAGCCCGCCCCCCCAGGCCACGCCCTCCACGCGAGAGGCCAATCGGAGAGGGAGCGGGAGGCGGGGCCGCGGTTGGAAGCGCTCGGCGGTGATAGGCTGGGACGGCGGGCAGGCCCGCCTGGCTTGCGTGACGTCACCGGCAGCGCCTCGGGGCGGGCGGGCCCCGTGAGGCGAGGGGAGCCCCAAGATGGCTGCCGGCCGGAGCGGGGCGGCTCCTGCCCGCTGAAAGCCACGAATAAAGAACCCCCCGCGAGTAAAGCACTCACTAATAAAACCCCCACGAATAAAGTACCCGCTAATAAAGCCCCCACGAATAAAGAACCCGCTAATAAAGCTGGTCCGGCTGAGGGAGAGGAGCAAATAATAATAAAACTCGTAGCCGAGGGAATACCTCAGCTGAACTCTTCGCTGTAGGCTCAGGAATTTCGTGGAGCGTTTCTCCCGCTGCAGCCTAAACGTTGGGCAACGCGACGCCCAACGAGAAAAACAGGATGAATCGCTGCTGTTATGGATAATTTTAGGCGACTGGCTGAAGCAAAGCGTTATCGCGAGTTGCCTCTGCTTTTGAAGCCCGGCGTGGTCTCCCCTGTGAATGCACGCACATAAATGTGACTGAAATGAGACCAAGGCCAATAAAACCAGACCTTCGGTGTTCAGCCTCGAGCACACCCGCATAAACTGTCAGAATGGAGACTTTCCCACCTTGTTACCTGCCTGCTTTACAAACTACCCCTAAGGATCAGTTAACAAGCAAAGCGTTTTACAAGGTGCGTTATAGTACCAGTTATTAGTAATAGTAATTATTATCAATGTGGGTAAAGCCCTTCCTAATTGAGGCTTTGAGTGTCAGCTCTGCAAAGACACCCACTCCGGCTCTTGCTGATGTGCCGTAATGCTCGGGGCGAATAACTGGTCCTTTGTTCGCCACCACTTGTAGTGGTTACAACAATGCTCTTTTTTGGTACAAAGCGCTGTTGTTTCCTCCTTAGGGAGAGAGTGAATTTTCCAAATACAGTCCTGTTAACTCTTGGCAACAACTGAAGAATCAGAAGCTCTCAGCTGTTGTGTTTTACTCTTTTGTCCTGACCTGAGCAAGAGCAACGAACAGAAGAGAAAAAAAAAATAAAATCACCATTCCAGCTCTGTACTCGAGCACATGAAGTTCCAGTACTTGTTCTGGCGACTTGCCTTACCAGATCCGCGGATACTCCAACTCTTTCACACATCCACGCGATTTCAGTGTCCCGTGTCTTGTGTAACATCTTAAAAGTGAAGTTACTGGTTAAGCCAACTTTTTGTTTTGCAATGAATCTGTATAAAGCCTGTCACTGGCCGCTAAACAAGGGGATGGAGAAGAATTTACCAGGCAGATAAGCTTTTAAAGCACTTGACAGTTCCTACAAAACTCACCATATGAATGCTCGAGCCTGAGCCCTGTGACTTTGTTTAACAAAGCGCTGTGATTAGGAAACCATTAGATTTTCACACCTACTAACTTCTTCTTAGATAAGTAATCCGTTCATTTTAAAAGACTCTTATTTTTCTAAAATTTTCCTTTTCCTCCTTGAGACAGCTCCTTCAGAATAAATCGTTTCAAATTTCTGAAGGCTATCTGTGAAGTTGGAGTATTACAGTATTTTGAATCTCAAGTACATTCACTCTTGGACGATACTAAGTTACAAAAGATTAAAAAAAATAGTCATGGGTGCGTTGTAATGTAACTAAAATGAATGAGTCCCTGAAAAATACAAAAATACATGACTGTGCTACTTCTCTTTACAAATAATCTATCAGTTTTGTTGATTGTGCATGTTTAAAGACACACTCAACGGCAAAACAGTTGTCAAAACATCAGGCTGTCATTTTGCATGTCATTAAAACAAACAGTTCCAAAGTCCTTGAAAAATAGCATTACATTGTCATCTCTGAAGGTCCACCCTAGCACATCGATTTTTAAACAAAAATATATAGGATAATGGCACCTGGAATTGCAGTCAAAGCAAAAGGTGGGAAAACAGTATTCAAGAAATTAGATTTACAGAAAGGGGTTATACAGCTAGCCTTAAGCTTTGCCCATTGACAAGATTTTATGTAATGCATCAGGACTTGGCAGTACCATGACTGATTTTAAACTGACTTCTCAATTAGCTGCCAGAAAGATGACATGAACGTTAGGGAAATGGCAGAAGTAAACCGGGTGACAAAAAGGGGGTCCTTGGAGGGATTTCTTTCTATGGGTGAACTTCAGAACAAGAGTTGTAGTACGAGAATGAAGTGTCAAAGATGCAGATATGCTGAACATGGCCCTGCACCTGCAGTTCTAAGCCAAAAAATGGACACTTAACCAGGTGAAACCTTGAAGCATCTCACAGGCAGACTGTACTAGGAAATTTTTGAAAGGAAGGTAAAACTCACCGGTTTGGTGCATGACATTCTTTTTTTCCCCATTGGAAGTCTAAGGGATTTGGGGATAGTGAAGTGGGAAAACTGAATGGATAACAGTTCATTTTATAATAGGCAAAACAACCGTCATTATTTTCTTTAACAAAGGAGACCGATATCCATTTCCTCCCATTGAAGCTCTGTGTTTAGAGAAGGTGCAGTCCATAAACACGTCCTCCCCTATAAAAACGCATTGTACTCTTTGCCTAGAATATACTGAAATATAAATGGGAAGAAGAATGAAATAATTCACCTTTAGAGTTGTGCTGGAGACCATACATAAAACTACTGTGAGTTGATGAGGCCAAAATATTTTGCATTGGGATTAATAATGTGCCTAATTGGTGCTCTGTTATTGGTATGTGCTTCGTTAGGGTGGGCTCAGATAACAGGCAGAGATGAAGGCTGGAAGAAATCTGTGTTAAGAGGCAGAAGAATTTAATGCAGATTGGAAGTTTATTTATTGTATGATGAAAACTATGAATTCAGAAACCTTAAATACACAGTTCCTTGGTGCTATCCCCCCAGCTTATTACAAGGAATCCAGCACTCATAAACCCACCTCCTCTACAGCTTCCTTGCTGGTGCACGCAGCCACCATAAGCAGCCAAACCTATTACTTTACACACCCCTAACTCCATTTACCCCGGGTCCCTCACCTGCTCACAGCACTCCTTTCATAGTCGCTTTCTCTACTAATTTCAGCTATTTTGCATGCCCGTTCCCTACTAATTTCTGACACCTGCAGCGGCAGCTCCGAGCGGCTACGGGAAAACTTGACAGCATGCACAGCAACACCATTTGTCCTGGTTTCTGCCAAGCACACACCACTCACCCGCTAAAGCTGCTATTTCGGTAGCGTCAGCCAGAGGCGAGCACGCGGATTCTTTCTGAAAACACCGGATTTTTGTCCCAAATTCACCTCAGCGCGACGCTGAGCACCAAACGCGCCCTCTCCCTCAGCCACCCCGCGGGCGGCGTGCCCGGGGCGGGCGCTGAGGCGGAGGAAGGAGCCGCTGCCGGGGGGACCCGCCCGGGGCTCACCGCCCAGCCCGGGCTCCATCCCCGCCCCGTCCCCGCCTCCACCGAGGTCGGGGCGGCCCCGAGCCTTCCGCTTCCCGCTGCCACCGCCCCGCCATGGAGGCCGGGCAGGGCCCCGGCGGCGGGGAGGTGGGGGAGCCCCACGAGGTACGGGCGGCCCTCGGCACCCGGCCGGGCTGCGGGGGGGAGGCGGCAGCCCCGGGATCCCCACACACGGGCATGGACGGGCGGGGAGCCGCGGCCCGGTGCCTCCCGGTGCCCTCCCCGCCCGCCGTGCCCTTGAGGCCGGCCCCGGCTCGGCCATGGCCCCGCTGCTGCCTCCGGGGGAGGGGTCACAGCCCCATAAGTGCTGGGGGGGGGGAGGGTCACGGGCACATAAACCTGGCCTTGGGGGCCCCAGCGGGCCTTCCCTGGGGAAAAGGAGCCGGCTGAGTGTGTGCACGCACTAAGTACATCCCTCTCCCTCCTCTCATTTATTCCATAAGTGTTTTTTTTAACGTTATGTTTCATGTAAACAACAAGCTGTTGGTTCCTTAACTATAACCCCATCCAAACACAGGTGCTACGAGGCCTGGAAGTTACAGTAAGCTTTTAACCGACAAATCCTAAACCTGCCTTTTTCTCTTTCTTTTTTTTTTTTTTTTTTTTTTAAATCGATCTCCCCGATAAAAGAATGTGGCACCTAAGCCTTACGTGCCGACGGAGGAGGAACGCAGGCTCCTCAAGGAGTGCGCTGACGAGAGCGCCCGGTACCGAGGTAAGCTGGGTTTGCTGGCGTCTTGCTTTGCCTTCCTCCTGCTCTGTGTACTGCCGGCTGAGGCCTCGAGGAAGGAAGGCCCAGGTGCAGCTCTCCTGGCAGCTCATTCAGAAGCTGTCCTGTGGCCTAAAACTGCATCCCAGTGAGTGCCGATCTACGTAGGACTCACGTTTATTTATTGCAAGTTTGTAGGGCAGGAGCTGTGCAAAAAGTGCAACGTGTTTTGTAAGGTTTATCCTTTATAACGAGACCCCTTCACATTTTAAATTAACATGTTTATTAAAAATTGGGAAATAGTTATAATTAACCTAGTCCCACATTTATTTATGTATCTGGATGTACTTTTTTGTTTGTCACTTATATGCTTTCAATTTTTGTTATCTTTAGAATGCAAAAATAAAATACTTTAGGGTAGAGTTATTGCTTTCTGTCTTTCTGGAGGCTTGCAAAAAACTAATCACTTAGCTCTACTTTTCGAGAAAATTTCTGTCTGTGAACACCAGGTATTTGGGCTTTTTTTTGGTCAATAAAAGCTAAGATTCGCAAACATGATTCTGCAGTCGGTAATTTTTGTACTACAACTAAGCGTACAAGAATAATAAACTTGCATTATTTTCACAAAATACTGTCAAAATTTAATCAAAATACCACAGTAAATTCTCTGTTTTTCATACAATGTTGATCGACTGAGAATTGATTTATATTACTTTTTAACTTCATGTTTGTAGTCCAGAGGTTCAAGACATACCTGTGTTATATACACCTGATTAAGAGCTTTGAACAAGCCTTCTGAAGTGATTGCTCTCCACTATTTTATCAGGCTCTTGTAGATTAGTGGTAATGCTGATAGGTGTAGTAGAGACTGGGACAGAAGAAGAATTTCCTTTCTCATGGAGGACGCAAGGGGAGTTGTTTGCCCATCTTTGGGTGTTTTGCTCTGAGTTCTTGACTGGTAATGAAGCTTACTGCCATGTTCATCTTTTTGCAGAGACTGAAGAAGCAACACGTAGGTACTGTTTAGAAGCCCCAAATTAGTTCCTTGAGTAGTCTCACTTCAGGGAAACACATTAGTAATTGGATTCTTCTTCAGGAGTTGCGCACTGTACTGTTATCTCACTAAGAGAGCCCAAAGCCCTTTGCTGTTTCCTGGGTCTCCTGTCTTTGTTTCACTGTTCTGCATCATACATGCCTACATGGTTGTATTAGCTGTGATCAATATGTGGGTTTTGAACGCTCCTTTGCATAGGCTGCCTGTGTGACTGCCTTGACATCATTGCTTTTTACTGTATCAATTCTTGTTATTCGTAGGTATTATTGTAATTTTATGTATTTTCAAGTTGGAGTCAATTTTTACCAGTTCTTACAAACCCTCTGTGCTGTGGTAGTTCATTGCTAACTTCTCTTTCAGAAAAGCTTGCTAGTCATCTCTTATTTCAGTTTAATAAACGTTAGGAATACCAGTAAAATGTATAATTGTGTTATCAGATAATATAAATTCTAATGCAGAAATCACATTACAATCTACCATTTTATCCTTTGCACTTTTAATCTCATCAACAAAATCACACACTTGGTATGACTTTTTCCCTCAGAAAACCATTTTGAATGGAACACATTACATTCCCACCCTTAATGACTTGCTGCTGATGTACCAGCCTTCCAGTATTTTTCCTAGGATTTATCTTGTTCCCAAAGCAAAGTACTTTTTGCCCATACCAGTGAAAAGCAGCAATGTCTCTGATCTATTAAGCTACTTTTATTTATTTTGTACGCTTGCATAGTGATTCTTCTGTTCGACTCCAATTTTCATGTACCTATTGCTGTTTTAATTTCTAGTTACCATTTTGTGTCATTTATAGGTGCACTTAGTAGCATTTGTTGCCATTACAGTGCATAATCTATCTTTGATGTCCAGAACATTTGTGCTAGGTGTATAAGTCATTTCTAACCTCTGTAATTACTGTAATCTTGCTTGTGAGCCATGGAACCAATACTTTTTCTTAAAAGTGACATCCAGTCATATTTACCCTAAAACACTAGTTGGACTCCTAATCTAGTTTAGATAGATAGTGTTGTAAAAATTCTTAGAAATACTATTTATCTTGAACTAGGAACTTAATTAGTGGATTGTGTGCTTCAAAATACTATAAACATCTCACGCTGTTCACAGTAAAATTCCCCTAGGTAGAGTTAAGGCAAGTCACCGAGCCTTTTTGTAACATCTATATTTTCAGAGCTGCTTAAAGTGTAGTACTGTGACAAGTCTGAGTCCTTAATGTCATCGACTTTGGCATTACCATGTCTGTTATTTCGGTATCACTGTATCTTGTGTTACCTTAGTGGTCTTACAGATAGTTTCATCTTCCTGACATTGTAATTATCACAGCTTGAAAAAGCATTCCTTTTGTTTCTTTCTATCTCCAAATGATTTCTGCTGTCTGAAATAATTCAATATGATAAAAACTGATAAAAGCAGACTGTAATAGGTTCTGTGTTGTTCACAGACACAGTTCTTCTCTGTGTCTTCAACTTAATTCTTAATAACTGTTCTGTGTTCGTCTTCCCTGCATTCTTGAACCTATCCCCAGCTGTGTAGCTTGATCTGTAAGCTAAAGAAAAACTTGTTCCATTCTTTCATTTGTTGTTGAGTAAACCTGATTACCTAATTTTACATTAGTTTGTTTTGTATCTCTTTAAGAGTTGGAGATATTTAAAAGTTTTCATATTAAAACAAAATCAGGCCTTTTGGTTATCAAAAACTTCTAGAGGCACTGGCCTCTATGTGGCCTTCACTCCTATAGAACTGTGTTTGTTTCTCAGGTTTAAAGCACTGCATCTCGATGCTGTAGCAGTTGTAGATAGCTTTCAACACCTGGAATCTTGTACCTTGATCCCATCTGCCACTGCCTTTTGTATTTTAGGAAGCATGAAGTCCAGTGAGGGCAGGATGATACATTAACCAGTATTTCATTATTTATAGGAGGTCTCTAAGCTAGAATTGAGAATGTTTCATAGTTTGTATAATTTGATCATTGTATATGCTTAGATTCTCATACAAATGAACCTAGCAAGACCTAACGACTCTCGTTTTGTTGTATGTTTTGTTAAATATTATTGAAAATGTTGAAAATTATATTTTAAGCAACTTTTCTTCTCTACAGCTTTTCCTTTGGCTGCAGCGAGCATGCTTGCTACTACTTTCTTAATCAAAAAAGGTAAAGTATTAAAAATACTTAGTTTAATTTGAATTTGCACAGATTAACTATTTTTTGTTTTTACTAAAGTTACTATACTTTAACACCTAATCTGCTGGTAAATAAGAGAGGTTCCAACTTGTAAGCTATATGACTTGCAGTTCCTGAAACTAAAAGAACAGAACTTCTGGTTAAAATCACATTCTTATTGCTTGCCATATGCAGTATCTCACTGATTATGAACCAATGTATTCTACGTATGATACTGTGTGATATATTAAAGAGATAATTGTTAGATTTTTATAATGTTATGGGGAATTCCAATATTAAGTTTTCTTGAATTTTCTTTCATTTAAATTTTAAAGAGTCACCTGTTACCCCGATATTATGCAAGAGAACTGTCACTTTGGATTCATAGAACAGTTAATGTTTCTTCAACTTAATTCTTAATAACTTATTATTAATTACTTTGATTCCTCATTTTCAGGTATTCTAAGAGAGACCTCAAGATTTGGCTCTTTTACTAAAGTTGCATGTAAGTAAAAACTGTACATGAATTCAGCTTGCATTTGTGACTTCAGTCCTGGAGTCTGTTGCTCAGATGTGGTCCCCGTGAGACTAGCTGGCTGATTCACTGTGACTTCATTTTATGCTTATATTGGTAAAACTGTGCCTGAGGATGTAGCTATGTGATCTGATTTATCCAGTGAATAAATTTCACCTTTCTGCAGTTGACTCTACCAGTCAGCAACTTTTTCAAAACATTTAACTCCAACATCTGATACCAGAAGAATGTATTCAATATCAAGAGGTAGAGCAGTTCATTTACTCATTGTCTTTGAATTTGTGCAACTGATTTTGGATGAGCTTTGTTTGTAGACTTTCTATAGAACTCTAAGATTCAAAATGTTCTTGACAAGTGTAAGGTGAGAATTTAAGATGAAAATATTGCTAACAGGCTTTGTACAAGCGTATTTTTTCCCCTTTTGTTATGGTCTTTCAGGGATGAATATTTTTCTATGGTAGAATTTAAAGATGAAACAACATCATCAGAAATAAATTCATGCTTCAGCAAAAGTGTCTGTAGGAATGTAACCTGTTGCTATTAAAGCATCTCTTGAGATTATTATAGCTGAAAAGAAGTAAATAAAAATGCTTCTTTTGAGTTAGCTTCTGTATTTTCCTTGGTTGTGTAACCTTGACAGGAGGGAAGAAACAATGACGTTTTCTTCTAGTGCCTGAACTACAAATATTAGCAATTCGTGATGCTTCTATCAGAAACTGATTTTTGACAATGATTGTATTTATTGTTCATAGTATCTGTTTGATATTTCTTCCTGTACTGGCAAGCAAAACTTTTTGACATTGTTTAAAACTTTGTGAGTCTAAATAACATCTTGTAAAGTATTAGAACAGCATACTGCTGCAGTGAAGTCTGCCTGAAGGACTTTGCCAGAGTACACCCACCCCTCCCTTCCTAATTTGAAGGTCATTATTCATGTGTCTCGCTTGTCCCATTCAGGCTATTTTAGTGCCTTTTTTTCCTGGACGTTAGGTGTGTACAATTATAGGAAAACAGCAATTTCTTGTGAATGATTTTGGATTAAGTATAATCAAAAATAAATTAATAAATTAACCTTTTCAATTTAATACATGACAGTAAAACAGGAAGTTGCCATCTTGCCAATCTGCCCAGATGCAGTCAGTTACAGCCAGTTACTGTTACAGTTTACTTCAGTAGGAAGAGGGTAAAACCCATGATTTGTAGTGAAGGAAATGTTGTTTAAGCAGATAAATGAATGAGAGAGGCTAGGGCTGCCATTTGTTTATGGTAAGTTCTGCTTTCCTTTTTGAACAAATAATAGAACAAACCTTTCTAACAAACCTTTCTAATAAATAATGGAATTACTATTTCCCTGATACCTACACATTTGTAAGTAAGGGCCATGTTCCTTCTGTTTAGAAGAGCTAAATTTTGAAATCAAAGGAGAAAATGAGCAGCTGGACTGGACCAACTATTTTCAAAGTTAAAGTTATTAGCCAAAATACTTCTGGCTTCTCTTCAGTGTACACTAGTGGGCATATAGACTTAAAGAACTTTCCATGCAAAGTGTGTTTTGACTGTTTTTCAGTACGTAACTATAAGTGATTTATGTACTTCTTAAATACATCTTAGGGGAATTTGGGGGGAAGGGAGGAGGCATAGCTGCAGTTTAAAAGGCCTGAGTTAAGCAGTTTTCATTTCATTCTCATATTGTTTAGGTCAGATGCAGCTACTGTCTACAGGATCTTCCTGCTAAGTACTGCCAGAGACAGTTTACAGGTCCAAATCATGTCTCAGAGTTTAACTGTACATTCCTCCTGCAGTGACATCTGGTCAAAGGAAGCAGTTGTGTTGTTTTTTTTTTTCCCTTGATGAGTTCTGAAAGAAGAGCACATCAAATTCCAGACACTGCTAGTTCATAGTTAGCTGATGATAAACAACGATAAAACAGTTTAAGAACAATCCTGCATTTCTGGTGTCACTGATCTGAGCGTATCAAAGCTGTGTCTGTTGATCATAGTCTGCTAATGGTGCGTGTCTCTTCTGGTTCGTAGACTCTGAAGTGTATCCATGCTTGACTGCAGTAATGGTCTTTTATATTTAGCTAATGTAGTTGGGTCAGGTGGGGGCTGAAGACATCAAGACATGTGAGGAGCGGCTGAGGTCCCTTGGTTTGCTCAGCCCAGAGCAGAGCAGGCTGAGGGGAGGCCTCATGGCGGCCTGCAGCTCCCTCACGAGGGGAGCGGAAGGGGCAGGCGCTGAGCTCTGCTCCCTGGGGACAGCGACAGGACCCGAGAGAACAGGACCCGAGAGAACGGCATGGAGCTGGGACAGGGGAGGGTCAGGCTGGGGGTTAGGGAAAGGGTCTGCACCCAGAGGGTGGTTGGGCACTGGGACAGGCTCCGCAGGGCAGTGGTCATGACACGGAGCCTGACGGAGTTCAAGCAGCGTTTGGACAACGCTCTCAGACACAGGGTCTGACTTTTGGGTGGTCCTTTGTGGAGTCAGGAGTTGGACTCCGATCCTTATGGGTCCCTTTCCACTCAGGATATTCCTTGATTCTGTCTGGTATTAGCCTATAGTGGGACCTGGCCTCCTTTATGTCTCTGATTAGCTTCTCCAAAGTCTTGTTGCAGTGAACACAGAAGAAGCAAAGAACAACAATAGCTGATTTACTGTACTAATTTGGAAAATATAAATTGTCTGTCAGTTATGTATTAATAGAAAACAAATATTTTGGCCACTAATTACTTTGGTTAAAACATTTTTCCAAGAGATGTTTCCATGTGTCCCAACTAGAAGGCCTTGAGAGAAAGGGACTTTAACCTTTTGCATAAATTACAAAGAGAATCACCTATGCTGCTTAACTTTATTTTGCTAAATATATAGTTTGAATTCTCGTTGGGTCAAAAAACCTACTGTGATTATTTAGTGTTATGTCCTGTCTAGAAGATCAAGATGTCTTATGCACCATGTGGAAAGCATTTGCCTACAGATTGCAAGGGTTCAAATAGTTCAGTTGTTTGTCCTCAGGCAACCTCTTCAGAAGATACCAAGCCTAGTATTGAAATTTTGTAGATGTCTCTTCATACTGGGAAAGCCTTGTTCTTGGGAAAACCTATCTGTTCTGATGGATTGAATTCTCAGAATTTTCTACCTTTCTTTATTCCTTACCATTTTGTCATCTTTGATAGTTGCTATTTCTGGATCTTGGGAAAAGCTGATTGGAGTTCTCTTCTTTGGTACCTTTCACTCATTATTTACTATCTGAAGTCATCTGATACTCAGGTCATGTCTAACTCTCTCTAAGTATGTCTCTGTTCAACTCTTGCATTTGTTTTTAGTACCCTTTGTCCGCAAAAGTAGCAAAGAGATGACTACTGATTTTTTTTTTTTATTTCAGATCTAAACTTTTTGTCTCTAATTCAAGGTGCTGTGTAATTTATTGGAAACGACTACTTTAAAGCTATGTTGAATGTTATGATACAACATATCAAACCATCTTTTTTCTTTTAATAAAGTTGCAGGAACGTGTGGATACCTTGCTGGAAAGATATCCTACTTGCCAATCTGTAGCGAGAAATTTAAGAAACTGAAGGACTCCCCAATAGGAGATGTTCTACGACAAGCTCAGAGACATAGTTCGCATTCGTAAGAATTTAATTCTTTTAAATTTAAACCTTCAGATAACCTACACCTTCAGATCTGCACCTTCCCTCCTCTTTCTTCTTCCTCTTTCTGCCACTTTCAGGAAGCTATATCATCTGTATGAATTGGCCAGCTGTGAAACACACATTTTGAATTTGTTACATACAACTGATTACTTTGAGGAATAGAAAAAGAAGCATTTTAATTTAGAAGGAATATATTTTGATAAGTGAGACTTGTTTTCCTGTGGAATTTCCTTACAGGAGTGTGACATCAGAAGTTGCCCTTCTCAGCTGAGAAGTAAACTAAGTTAACTGAAATAAAATAGTGTTACTTTCTGGAAGCTTTTCCCATAGTTTAGTTTGATTGAAGTAGGAAGAGGGTGGAAATGATTTCAGTGTTTATCAAAGGAAAGAGCTCAGTAAACAATATCAGTGCAGGAAGAAGCATGGTGGTCAGACTTAATGCTGTTTGTTTAAATCCTTTACATCTGTAACAGCATTATGCCGTACATATGAGAAACTCATCAAGTTCTTAAAACTATTTCCTGTTTTGTTCCAGAATGTTTTCTACTTCAAGTGGTGTTTAATTACAAATCACTTCTGGAATATCTCACTTAAACCCTTGATTCAAAACTGGGAGAAGCAGTCTTTGGATAGTGAGTAGATAGTGAGTCCTGCACACCACGGTGTGCTAAGATTTGTTTGATTTTCATGTAGGACTTAATTAATTTTTTATAACTTCTTCAGTTTAGATTTATGACAGTTTTGTCTGCAAGGTTTTTGTAGACAAACTAATTGCAGATGTTCTTCATATGAAATTAAAAGTACAGCTGAACAGAAATTTAAAGTACAAGGTGAATACATACTCTAGTGACACCAAGAGGATGGCATTTTTGATAGAGACAGACAAATAACTGTGTAGTGGGTTTGTAGGGCCAGTCTGAGTTGGTAGTGAATACTCAAGAGTATCAAGCATCAGTTTCCACAGTATTTTTGGTGTGGTATTATTTTTTTCTCTGAGAAAACTCATTAATGCTTCTGCTGAAAAAATAAATGAACAACTCAGTAAACTGTTAGTTTTGTTTCCCCAAGACAGTTCTTCATTCTCCTTTTCTTCTGTTGTGTATTATTGGTCAATTATAGCAGCTTGTAATAACACAGGGTTTTAAGTTGCAAATTCTTCCTAAAAGATCTTTAGAACTAGCTGTAGTTCACATGCTACCACTAGTTACAAGGACACACCCTGTACTATTTGTGTCTGACGCGTTTTTGCTTTCTGAAGAGTCCCTGGGGGGAGGGATTGTCATTTTTATGTTGTAAAGTGCAAAACACTTTCTCTTTTGTCTTCTGTTTTAGAGATTTTCGGGTATGATTTAATTTTCTGGGAGGAAGGAAAGGGTGTTGAGAAAGGGGCTATGTAGATCTCAGCAATGTTAAAGAAATCTTTCTTTTTTTAAGACAGTAACTCTTGTTGTTGGAAACTAAATTAAACCACTTACCGGAGTATTGTCTGCAGCTGCACACAATGTTACTCTTATAGTTTCATTTTAACTTGTTAACAATTCTGTATTTAATATTTAATTTTATTATTTTTCAGCCGTTCCAGCCGGAAATCTGAATTTTCAGATACACCTTCTCAGTCGTTTACTGAACCTTCTTCTCCAAGAGCTGGATTCCCACTTTCTTCTACATATTCAGATGATTATAGCTCAACAGACAGAGGCCTCTCTAGCTACGAACCAGTTCCATTCAGTGCTTCCCTGAATGAATCTTCGCCTACAGGAATCACTGATTATGCTGTGCAAGGTGTGATATGTCTTAGCATTTAGCAATTGGTAGTTCAGTAACTCTTAGCTGTCTCTTAGATAGTTCTCTCATTAAACTTAATTTACTGTGTGGGATAATAGTGTTTTTGAATGAAACACCTTGAAGTTCCCAGAATTGTTTCAGGGACAGAAGGTAAATCCATGTGTAATTTTCTAACTTTAATCTAAATGCAGGTTTTTGTTTTTTTTCTTAGTAGTTCTAATTGCAAGTAAATTAATGTACAAGGTTTAATCTGTTATGAAACTCAGCCTGCAGACAACTCACCCTGGCTTGAAGTTTTTTTTTTGATTTAAATTAAAGTGAATATGCCAACCATTTCACTGCACCTGATAAGAAAGGCTAGCAGATAAATGGTAGAGACTATGGTTTAGGTTATTTCATTTTCACCAGTTTTGATGCTTTAACTGTATACTACTATAATTCGGTGACATTAAAATATTTAAAACATTTAAATCTTCTGAGAACTGAGTGCATATTGTGTTCTCTCACACAACAGCTGACTTTTCCATGGAGAAGTAAAATGGTTTTAAAGTACTGGTTTGTGCAGCTGTTCCTCTCCTTCCAATATGAACTTTGTCCTCAGCTATTGCTGGGGGCAGGGAAAACACTACTCTGAATCTCTGAGGTACACAAAGGAAGAAGCTACTGTCCATTGTAGAGTTACATATTTTGAATTGGTTTGTGTTTTAAATTCCTCGATGGAAAATGTTTTATTTCATGCAAAAAAAAAGCCCTTTCATGCAACTCACTTTTAGTTATATAAAAGTTTTTGGATGTAGATGTGTCGAGGGAATTGTAATAACGCTCCGTTACAAATATTGACAGTTTATAAAGCTGTAAGTATAGAACCAAGATTCTGCATTATAAAAGTAGATAAAATGTTTATTAAGTGACCTGTGATGGATGTAGTCCTATTAAGATTCACTCACATTTCTCTTCAGAAACTATAAATATATCAAATGTATGACTAGCATTAATTTTACATAAAGTGACCAGAACTGTTTTATCCTTCAGGGACCACATGACCGTTAGGCTTTCCACTAGATGAAATGACACAAATAAGTTAACTGCTGGTCTGCTAAAACAGACAAAACAAAAAAGATGAAAGGAAATGAATGAATGAAGGACCACATACATACTCAGTTGCATTTTGAATTGCAGCTGTCACCCTCCTTTTCATTTGGGATTGAGCTGTAATTAACTGACATTCTAGAATAGGCTGTAGCCAGGTTTAGTTGATTGTCATTTCTGGTATTTTGTTGTTTGTTTTGTTTTCAGAACCTGCTCCACTTCCAGAAGAAGGTCGTAAAAAAAAAACTGTCACATATGAAGAATTAAGGAATAAACACAGAGAAACGTACGAAGTAATGGTACCACCAAAGGCAGAAACTCCAATCAAGTTGCCACAGGAAAAACCAGCTAAGGAAGGTAATGTGCTGATTCACAACAGTACATGGTATATTCAAGCAGTAGCAGTAATCTTAAAAATAGTTACAAACCCAAAGCTTAATTCTGCCTACCCTTTAAGCAACATTGTTACAGTATCTGCAAGTATCTGATAAGTGATGTAATCAATTGTTACATATTTTAAATTAATTTTATTTTCAAAAACATTGATCTTCCAGCAGCAGATTGTAAGTCCTCTTCTCTGTCCATATTGCTTTGGGACAGACTCAGACAATCTCATAGCTTCTTTTTTAAAAATACATTGTGCAACATATTTCAACAAAGAATTTTCTGAGCTCAGAGCTTTAGTGAAGAGTTGTAGCTATGGAAGGGGGGTTGTATGTTTTAGATAGCATTGTTTTATCAAAATAGAGCACATAGTTGATGGTTTTGAAGTCGGGGGCATTTATGAATTGTTTCATGTGGAATTAGCGCATTTCTATAGCGGCATTGTTTGTAGAGGTTCATTATTCTACATTAAAACTCAAAGGAAGGAAACGGTATTTGGCAGCAATATTGAGATTTGTTTTCACAGTGAGAAACAAAACTTTACACAGCAGAAGAATGCAGTGCCCTGAAGGATAAGACTTCATTCAGTCAATACTCTCACTTGATCATTTTTTTTGAAAAGGAGACACCAGCAGCAATTTATGATTACTTGTTCCAGAACGGTGTCAGTGTGACATCTTAGAAAATGATGTCAGCAGGAGGAATGTCAGTTGTAATTGTTTCATTTCGTATGCAGTGTCCAGTCATCTCAATCACAACGCAATGAGACTTGTAGGAACAGGTGATGTTTCCTGTTAGGCATACACAGTTGTAATAAATATACACATACATATATATGTAGATATATGCTAAAAGGTCTGAAATAATAAGAGTAAACTTTGGAACAGTGTTGCTTAGGAAGGTAAATCTATTACACCTTTGTGTAATACTCTTTCCAGATCATTAGTCTTTAGACAAATCCACATGGTCTTGAAATTAGAATTACAAACAATGATTGGGTAGTGATATAAATGTTGTTAAGAGAATGTCTTTTTCTGTGATTACATGACTTTGTCAAATGAAACATTAAGAAATTATAGACCTGTCCTTTCAGATTCTAAGTTCAGCCAGCTGCCTTACACAATCATTGATTTACACTGTTTCTTTTCAAGATAGTTCTACACATATAGAAAGCCACTAGAAACATCACTTGAAAGCCATAAGCAGAAAACTTAAGTAGCATTCTGCAAACCTTGCCATATTCCGTGGCAAATCTCATGGCTAAGAAATGAGAATGCATTCATTATTTTATTTTTAGTTATTTGAGTTGTTATAAAATGTTAATCCACAATATTGCCTTCTCTGTTATATTTCTGTGTTCTGGTTGATGGGTATAGTCAGGCTTTGAGACTAGAACTACACGCAGCAGCGCATGAGATTTGTAAATAAACTTTCAAGAGTACCTGTTTGTTAGAGAAAGGAGTAAGAAGGGAGTACAAAAAATTGAGAAATGTTTTATAAGCAGAGGTGTGTTAAAACCTACTGATATCATGGGCTGAAATCTGATTCAGCGTCTTATGTCATATTTGACACGTTAATTGTTTGCACGTCCTGAACCATCACCCCTTTGCTCATCATCTTTTCTCCTTATTGTAGGAACCAGACTAGCAAATAGGAGACTGGTTTCTGTCTCTGATACAAGGACAGAAGGGAAAACTAACCATGTAGGAAGCAGACCCTAGCTTCCATCTGCTGGTGCTTTTTCCCATTGTTGTAACAGTATGAATTTGTGTAGCTGCATAGCGAACTGGACTGGACCATTTTTCAGGGAATGAGCATGACTTGCTAAGCTGCCATGATTAATAAAAATAGCAATCAGCTCATAGGTTGAGTCAGCTTCTCATTGTGCCTCACCTGCAGTATCAATCTGCTCCTCTTGCCCAGAGGAGCTGTGGATTCCCCATCCCTGGCAGTGCTCAAGGCCAGGCTGGATGGGGCTTTGGGCAGCCTGGGCTGGTGGGAGGTGTCCCTGCCCATGGCAGGGGTTTGGAACCAGGTGGGCTTTAAGGTCCCTTCCAACCAAAAACCATTTTTAAATTATGCAAGACAGATCTGAATAAAGCCTTTAAGACCAGTACCCTGTTTTTTCTTCTCTGACTCACTTCTGTACTAAAGGAAGTTGCCAAATAATAATGGCTGAGTAGTTTCCTAGTAGGGATTACTGATTTTTGTTTGTCTTTGTGTTTTTAGCTATCCTGAATCCATCCAATTGTGCACGTAACTACATTATGTAGCCACGTATTTATTGTAACATTCCTTGCCCGTTTCCTCCAATTGTCTTTGTTTCACCCACATGTTGTGTTTGTTTCAAAGTAATTACAAATTCCATAGGGCAGAAATTTGCACAGAAAGCCTCTGGGCTGAGTATTAATTCATTAAAGAAAAATGAATTACAGACTTTCTTCTCCCAATTTATTCAAAACTACTTTAAATTAGATGCTTATTGTACTGTGACTGATGCTGTCCCCACTTATTACTTTTAATTGCAATGTACCCTAGTTTCTGGCACTGTATAACTTTGGGAATTAGATTTAATAACATGACTACTGTTTCTTTCTTTTCTTTAGTTAAAGTAAATAAATATGGAGATACCTGGGATGAGTAAGAACTGAATGAAGAACTGAAGAAAAATATCTCCTGTCAGCCAACTTGAACTTCATCTATATCAGTCATGAATACTGGCACCATTGATGTGTTCTGTCAGGCACAGTTACTAATAAATGAGGAAATCTTGACTTGCCAAAATATTTAAAAATAAGTATTTAGGCTGAAGATTCTTTTTTATTTTGCATAAATGACAAGCCAGGGTATTGTGAGGTGTCATGATTGTAAACCATTAGTGCTATTGTTCAAGAATGAAAAAGCTAACTAGCAATAACTAATATAAATGTACAAGAAGGGGTGAAATGTGTGTAAATAAAAGCAATTATATGTATTGGGAAGGGAAAGATAACACAATCTTCCAAAACTTTGAAGATTTGCATTAAAAGTTACCTGTAGAAATAACCTCTCACTTTTTGTCTGAAAGTATGCTGGAAACCTCAGAATGTTATCATACTTAGTAATGGTTGGAATAACACTGAATTATTAGGAGAAAAAGGGTAGAGGAAACTAGCCGAATACAGGAGTAACCATACAGAACAGGACTTTTCTTTTTCAAAGCTCTCTCTGGGTGGCAGTTGTGGTTTTAGACTGGTCTTCTGACTTGCCCACTCCGGGTCTCTTAGGACAGTCAATGCAGAATACAATGAATGAAACTGCAGAAATTTAATATAGCTCTAATTTAAGTGCAGGAGGCTAAACTGGACAAACTGTTAAAAGTTTGATATCTTGACTTAATTTTTGTGCATTGTCCTTCTTCTCCATTTGTGCATGCCATGGCAAAAAACAAAACAAAACACTTGAGACTGTTCACAAAGAAAAGATCCTGATAATGGAGTATTGCACTGTTATTACCTGTAAGAACTGAGCTACATTGGCAAAACTACTGAAAAATATTTCCTAATGTTTGCATCCCCTGCTCTGTCTCAAAACACTATTGTTTTTTTCTGTCCATTAGATACTCATTTTCAGCTGTGCTGTTTAATCTCACAGCATTGTTTTTGTTTTGACTCATAGGCTATAGGTGAGCATAAACCATGATGAAGTTAATAGCATAAAAAGCATTGCTGGCATTTTGTTGGAGATGAAAAATAGCCTACCAAGAAGAAAGTTCTTGACTGTATTGATTTAGTGGACTAGCAGCACAGAGCAGCATGAACAGGAAGATAATTTTAGGTAGGTAAAGAACAATCAGCTGAAATGGGAGGGAGAAAATGACTAAAAGATGAGAGAATGCTTTAAGAGACAAGTACTATTTATAATCATCAAAACAGGAAGATTGCTATCAGATAAACAGAGAGAGAGAGAGGATTGTGCTAATCGGGTAAGCTTGAAGTTGTATCAGAAATTTAACTTAGAGAGAATGCTTTTTTTGCCCGTGATGACACCATGATGAGAACTTTGAAAATACAGAAAGCTTGCTAGAGTTACGTTACTGTATATTTCTTAGTGCACCATTTCAAAGCTGACTGGATTTATCATGAAAAAATAAAGTTTCCTGGTAGTGAGTTACCCAAGTAACAGGAGGCAGGAGATTTAGCTGATTAAAATAGAGCAGATTAGAAGAAATGATTTTTCTGTTAAAAGAATGAAAATTTTGGACAAATAAAAAGTCCCCAAGCTGTTGATACAAAAATGGGATCTCAAAGACTCTTGCCTCAAATTAATATTTCAAGTGGACAAATAGAACATTTACATAAACTGTATTAGTTTTTATTTTTCCTTAGTGAAGAAAACAAAGGGCATATATAATACCTAATTAATGTTTTAAAGGCCTACTCTGCTTAATGTAACGTTGTGTATACATAAGATTTCTAAATAGAGCGTAATGTTCTCATTCTGCTGCATAGGGCCAGGATCTCTCTCAGGACATACTTTTTTTCCTTGGGTTGGGTTTACCATCAAACAATTTGATTTTATTTATTTTTTTTTCCTCTGAGCCTTTGGCTTTCTAAGTGTTAAATACAAGAGTTTTCACAATCGTACCTGTTAACTTGATTGGCTGTAGAAAACGAGCTTTTTGCCAACGTTAAGATCACTTTCAGCTTGCTGTGGCAAAGTGTGCCTTGAATCACTGCATCACTCGGTAGCTGTGGGAGTTCAGCCTTATTCCTTCCCTTTTTCTGCACGCCCTCCATTAAGTACCACCTTGGTTCAGAGTGTTCTCTTCCAGGCCTTAGGGTTTCATATCTGCTACCCAGTTACTTCTGAGGAGCTTCTGCGTTTCTACTGCACTTGCATCATTTATTTACTTCTTTCTAATGAATCCTAAGAGCTGATGGCATGTGGTTGTCACTGAAAACATCTGTGTTATAAACAACTAGGAAGAATGGTGAGTGTGTGAACAAAGCAGGACTGACCCTGCGTTTCTATGTTTAAATGTATTTCCAGCTAATGCACAAGTTTTTCTTAATTCTTTAACCAAGCCAACTGTTTTACTTGAATTTAGTCCCTCGCTGCTCCAGAAATTACTCCAGAAATCACAGTAAGAATTTCACTTTGCATTACCACTTACATTTCTAATTGGCTTCTTCTATAGTCTGACCTAACAACAAAGAGAGTGGCACTAAGAAAGAGCTGAAGTTTTCCTTTGGGCCATCATACTTGTGTGTTCATTAATAAATGTGAATTAACTCAATTCATATTTATTGTAAAGCTCTTTAAATTCTCTTTTATCCCTCAAAATAAACTTTAATTATGTAAAAAATTAACTGCTATAGCCTAAAGCAAACACCAGCAAATGTCTGACTATTTTTTTTCCCTGTGAACATTTCTAAAAAGGCTTTAAAGTAACTGCTCTCACTATTTCTTAAAGCTCTTAAAAATAAGCAGTTGCATGGCCAATTTAAAGGAACTGGAAGCATTATCCTAAAATCTGTTGGTGTTACTGTGCATAAGTACAGAGAGGGAGAGAATAGGGTAAAGTGCCTCAGCTCTGGCAGCTGGTAAAGCTCTACCAAAATCTTGGTCCTAAATGCTTTTATCTTTGCCCAAATTAAGCGACATGTTTATAGTCCAAAGTAAGAACTACGGCCTGACCTTTTGGGGAGTTTGTTCCTGCCGAAGTGGTTTGAAATTGGAAAATGTGAAGAGAAATGTGTACATGAAAAATAATTCGATTTACCTAATGAAAGCTAAAGCAGATTTGTGGAAGGCTGGAGAAATAGTATGCACTATTCCAAACCAAGCCCACAAATTTCCTGACTTGTCTGCTATTTGTTGGCAGAACTGTTTGTCTTCCCCAGGGTTTTCTTAGTGAGGAACCTGGTCCATCCTTTGCTCACAGCACAGCTGTGCATCCAGCTATGGCCCTTGACTGCCACACACGGATCAGACCTTGGGTAGCAAGGCTTTGCTTGCAACACATTCCTTCTGGTTTGCAACCAGGCTGGCTTATCTCTGTGATCTGTTACAGGACACAATGGCACTATAAATAGCCCTTTACTTTTCATAGCTTGGTGGCCTGTTAAATGGCTTAGGGAAATTAACTGATTGTGTTTGGATTTCAATCTCGAGGCAATAAATGGGAAAATCTGCTGCTCTTTGCTATGTCGGCCTCTTGCTTTAGGGCTGTTTATTGGGGTTTGCACTACTTCAGCTAAACCAAAGTAAATTTGCACACAGGTATGCCTGGAGTCCATAGATTAAATATTTTCTTTGCTAATGTAAGAACTGGATGTGAGCCAGCAGCACCTGACAGGAGTTCTGAGGGATTCCTGAGGAGCTGCATTAGAAAGAGCCCCGAACCAAGGACGGGACCTGGGCGTCTCATACATGTACAGCCTGGGCCTGGGGCAAGGTTCCAGTTCATAAAAGCCACAAGTGCATTATTCTTTCCAAATAACAAGGGGAAAAAAGGAAAAAAATTACTATTTTTGTTTAAGTAAAGCAATAAAGCAAAACTAGATGCTCAGATTGTAAAATGTGACAAGAAGTAAACAGCTATTGAGAGAGCTGCTGGCTAGTAGATGGCAATCTCTTGGGGATTCATTTATATGCGTTCAGATAAATTAAACCTATAATTCTTAAAGAATCACGTGGTAATAGCCATCATCTAAACCATTTTTTTCTGATTGCTCTCTTTAATGCTAACGATGCTGGTACTCTGCTACTTACTGCTTGTTTACTCATTTGTGCTCAGTTATTGTTATTTTTTTCAATTAAGAGATTCAAAATTTCCTGAGATTTTACTATCTATAACAGAATGGTAATACAGAGTTTCAATATATAGTGGTAATGTCTTCTGTGCATCAGGAACAGTTTTGAAAAACTAAAAAGCAAGTCTTGTACGTGTTACTATCATAATCTGATGGAATGCGTGATAAAAACACTGCACAAGTTTCTGATACCAACAATATTCAGTCAAATACAGCTTTCACTTACCCTTAGCCTAAGAAAAAAATTGTAAGATGAAGGAGAGATGAAGGGTTTGATAAATTGTTTTTGCCAAGACTCCAAGTAAATTAGGATTAAAAATCCCTAGTGTGTAACCTTCTTGTTGTTCTTCCTGCTGCTTAGTGATGTGTAGGATTGGGATATGCAATCTTAGCATGAACTGTTTCGAACGCCCAAAATGGGAAATTCATTCCTTACCTGGAATAACCTGCCGTTTTTATTCTTTCTAATCCACACTGGAAGCACAGTTCTAGCACGTTTTCTAATTAAGCTAAAGTTTAAGTTCTGTATAAATCTAATGTCACAAGTAATTTTTGTGGAATCATTTTTGTTTGGTTTAATTCTGTATTTTCAATATCATTGCGATCATAAGTGTCTTAGGATAAGTAGCATTTTATAATAGCATAGCTGATAAAGAATAGGGTGACTTTGGTTGCAGTAGCTGATGCCTAAACAGTAATGATGGGTTATTAGCAATGTCTAAATCACAGAAATACACAGTGCTGCATAGAAAACATTTCTGCTGGTATATAGTGTCATGCAATCAACGTATATGGTTATGCTGAAGAGCTAAGTCCGTTTTTCCATTCCCTTACATTTTATGAAGGTCTCACGTTCACATTTGCCCTCTTAGCCTCTACCTGCTAGACGATGCACAGCTGTCACCAAGCGTGAAGGCTGCAGGAGCAACAGTGCACGAGGAGGAGCCCCGCAGCCCCCGTGAGTTCTGTGCAGTGACAAGCTGGGGATAATGGACAAGGGGAACAGGAAGGCTGGCGGGGCAGCTGGCAGGGCCACCAGCAGTCACCTGCCGGGCAGCCTGGAAGGAAACCCCGAGGCAGACAAGGGCAGGCTTTGTGCCTAACCCAGGGCAGCTTCCGAGGCTAGGATGATCTACTTGATTCACGGAGCTAAGCAGTAGGCTGGGGGAGATTAAGTGGCAAGCATTTGCTGCTGGCTAAGGTTTCGGATTTTTATTTTAAGTCTTACACGTGCAGGAGATAAGCTTGGGCATGTCCACTGCAGTCATCAGAGATCTCAGCCTACAGCTGGAGTGAGGAGAGGGCAGGCTTTAAGTATGCCCCTAGGAGGAAGTATTAAAGCTGCTTCTTGCTCTGAAATCCCTGAGCTTGCTGATGTGACTAACCAGCACAGCACTGCTGCTGAATGATCAAAAGACACTCACATGAGAAGTAACACTTAAAACTTCAGGTAAGTGTTGTTTTTTGGTTTTGTTTTGTTTTTTTTCTGGCATTTGCTTTGAACATGCCATTGTTCTCAGACAATCTGCATGTCAGAGTTGACAGGAAAAACCTCTGCTCCTGTGGTAATGCTGTTTTACCCTTAGTAAGCAAAGAAAAGAACCACGTATAAATCCCTTTCATTACAATATGGCTTTCCTCAGGAGTCTCTGATCTTGTGTTCTCTGCACATGCAGGTGCTTCAGTCTTCACTTCAAGCATTAACTGCGTGTTTTGTTTCATTTGGCAACACTCTCCGCTTGTTTTTTCCAAGAGCTGTAAGAACATTAGAACCACTGTACTGGTCCTGCTGTCTCCCACCTTGGCTAAAAAGAGATCCTGCACTAGTGTGCCATCCTATCCTCCAGTGATCAGAGTATAAGAGCTTCCTGAGACAACAGCTGCACCTGGAGTGTGCAAATCCAGATGTTTCACAGCCGCCAGTTCTCTGGGGCGATGGAGCCTTTTGGAGCCTTTTTGTTCGTTTTCACCATGTTCTGTGGCAGTGCGTAAAGTGGTGCTTCTTTCAGGTTAAATTGGATTTTACTTTGTGCTGACTGGTTGTCGTTTTATGAAAAACAGCAATTCCTCCTTCCCTATTCATCTTTGATGATGGAGATGCCATATTCCTCAGCTTGGCTTGTTTTATAAATACCTGGAGAGTTATTTACTGAATTTCATGAGAAGAAACCATTTTCTACCATTTTCTGATCATTTTTTCCCCCTTCCCTTTTCTGTCTCTCAGCTCTGTTGTGCACTTTTTGAGTGGAAGCACCACAATGTTCATGATGAGGGCACACTGTGTATTACAAGTCTGTATTTTCCTAGGAATTTTTAATGTTCTGTTGGCCTTTTGGCTGTCATAGACCACCAATTTGCTGTCTCAGAAAACCATGCAACATGACTCCCCAGTCTCCATACTGAGAATGTCAGAGCAATTTAAAACCAGCCATATGATGCAATTAACATTTTTTCTCATGTGCTGCTGCTGACAATGAGGCTTATTACTCAGTCTCTTAGTACTGAGGGGTTTTTTTTTAAGCTCTTCTGTCATTTTGTCATCAATAAATGCGGTCATGTTTCCATTGGCAGATTCTCTGTGAGTGCGTTGACCAGAAGCCGTCTCAAACCTTCTAGATTTTAAACTGTCCTTGAGAATTTTCCCATTTATTTCTTCAGAAGCTAATTCATTGGAATCCTTCTCAAAACAAAACAAACTACTAAGCAGATGCACAGGATGGAGTGGATCCCTTTGTCCACATGTCCACTCTTTCCAAAACACATTAATAGCTTTGTAAGGTGTTAGTGTCCTGCTGTGAAAACCTGTTCTCCCAAATTAGCATCACTCTGGGTGGTACCAGAGTGGTACCCGAGCTAGATGCATCTTCACACATCCCCTTGGCCTGGGCCAGCAGGTCTAGTGTCTAGTAGGAAGCTGTGTACGTTCACTGGATTTTTTTTTTATTCTTTTTGTAGTATCTTCCTGCCAAAAGGGAATGTATATCATTTACTAGGACAAGAAAATACGACAAAAAGTTTTAGCACTATATAAACAATGCTTAACACGTGTGAGGCACAGCACAAAGAAAGCCAGTTGGCTCCAGTTTTATATAATTAACAGGGTACACAGTGTGTTGTGAGTCTTCCTCATCCTTTTATAGCTGGTGCTTTTAGGGGACTCAGTTGCCTTACACTTTATGCTTTTTAAAAATTTTGAAGTTACGCTTAAGAAATATTGCAACATGACTACAATCTCATTACAAAGGCTTGTTGCCTGGCTTCATGCTCGACTAGATTTGTTGGTCAAGCAACACAGGAGAAATTGCATTTTAACAAAATTAAATACTAGCCTTACCAAAACATACAGCCCTGTTAATTCCCAAACCAAGGAGTATTATGTGGAGCTTGACACTTGACAGGCTTAAAGAATTATTTGGCCATAAATCCCCTGAAGTACAGAAAAATGCTTTTAAACACCTTCTAAAGAACAGTTTGCCCATAAACTGCACTCATTTTTCCTTTGATATGCACAAATTTAGTGCTAATGCAGCTTAGATTCACAAAGGGCCCTTTTTCGTAACAGTACCGCAGTAAGTCATGAACCTAAATTAACACAATTAGCTCATCAGAGCAGTGACTCTTGCAAAGTATGGAAATAAATTTAAGAAAGAAAAAACATCCATTTTTGTATAACAGTAAATTTATTACAGGAAAGTAATAGGGAACCTGAACAAAGTTACATTTAGAGCAACCATTAAGCAGCAAAGCTGTCTTCACCCATCCACTAGCCCCCAAGAGGTAACGGTGACCACAGGAACAACCTCTGAGAGCCCAGCTTTATCAAGGTGGTGAGCATTTAGTCTAATAGCTTGTTAAATCTGGAATACTTTTTGCTCGTTGTAACCAGTTAATAGTTACTTTCTTCTTTTACATTCTAAGCTTCCTGCTTGAGGAGTCTTTTTGTGTTCAGGTAGTTCAAGAGGGGATACAAGCTGTAGGCACAGCATAGAACAAAAACTCACCAACCAAAACCACAGAAGATAGGCTTTACTGACTGACCGTGAAGGCAGCCTTTCAGAAGCTGTGCTTTTGGTTTTCAAGGCAACACCATTTTATGTTTTGTTGTTGTTGTTGTTTGAGGAAGTGTCTGCTCTTGATTTGCTGAGATACAGCATGAAATTTTGTATGTCCTGCTGTTTGTATACAGAACGTACCCTCAGGTTTCTTTCTCTACTATTTCAGCACAAAGTGCTAAACTGCACCGAAGGGCGGAAAGGGGGATGGAAACCAAAACAAAACAAAAAAAAACATGCTGAGAACAGAGAGGGAAATCTAAAAAAATACATTACAAGAAATGGGTATTTATTATGGACAGAACCATGTTAAGATTATGCAGCTACTTCAATTAAGGTGATTTACAAGAAACTAAAATTATGCATTATGTCTTCTCTACAAAATAAAGACTTGAAAGAAGAGGCTGATCCATAGAATTTTTGTCATCTTCACCAGACCTGTAAATTGGACAAAAGGACACATCATTTAAATCATTAAGCTGAGTGGCACATTATTTTCAATGAGGAATGTGCAGCTTCTTGGTGATTGCTCTGAGAATTCTGCAAAGTCCCTGAGGATATCAGAAATTGCTCTTGGACTCAGCAGCATGAGCACAATTTTAACTGGGCAATCCTCCTAGGCAATGCCAGAGCTTGGGATGCGTGCTTAGCATGGTCGCACAACAGAAATCCCAGGACCCATTTTGGGAAGAACATGGAGGCACCTGTGGCATCCTGCATTCTTCCCTTCATACAGCTGCAAGATTCTTTTGTATTTGAGACAATTTGGAATTTGTTTAAAAGCTAATTGGTACTTACACACCAGAAGGTGTACAACACTTTCAGGAAGTCTGAAAAAGGGAAAAGGCTGAGAAAGTAAAGGTCTCTTGTATTTGGACTTTAGGTTCAGCAAGATCCAGCCCTGACAAATACTGGAGGCAAATCCCTCCTGTAGCCATCAATGCTTAATTCAATACTCAGGTAGTAAGTGTTCATCCTCAACTGAATATGCTTTGGGGCCTTTATTTTAAATGGGTGAGAATATTGGCCTGTGTAAGGAAACATTAATTTGAGAGAAAATCTGCAAAGGCAGCACAGTAGTGCAAGAGCATAATGAAGCTCATGACTGCTAGTGGATTTTGGGTGTCATTCCATCACTGCTATGTCTGGCTCTCTCCCTTCTTTGTGCTGGTACTTTGTGCAAGTCACCCTTCAGAAAGGTTTTCTGGCTTTTTTTTTTTTTTTCTTCCTTTCCTCAAGGACTTATTTTTAGCTAAAGCAGGAAGCTGATCTGGCTGGCCGCATCGCTCCATGATCTCCACAAGAGATCTCCACAAGAGATGCACTGCCTGATTTGGCAGCAATCCTATGAGGTGAGCCTGAGCCAAAGTGTCTTTTCTGACAGCTTGCTGAACCCTTGCAGCTCTTGACATAAAACACTCAAGCAGCGGCAAGGTTGATGAAAATAGGGAATTTATTCTAATGGCTTCCTTTGTAACATCCCTTGCTGTTGAAACACCCATTAAAATCTCTGCTTCTGGGCAGGTAAGCAGGTTCTGCGAGCATACTCCTTAAGGACTGTCTGCAGCAGTGCACTTCAGAGCAAGAAAGGGACCATTATGGACATCCTTGTCTAAATTCCTATGTAATACAGGCCAAAGAGACTTAATCCAATCACTTCCACATCAGACTTCTGTTCTGAGCTACACTTAGAGCCGTAAGAAACTCACATGGCAGGATTTCAAACAGGCCCTCTGCTCCCTCTCTTCCCTGCAGCCAAGCTATTTGCAAACACTTTCACACATTCTCCTGCCTGTGAGAAATGTAGGCCAGATTACCACAAGCAGAACGTGTGAAAATGCTTTTAGAAAGCCCAGCTGCACGCCTGTTTTTCATAGACAAAGAGTGAAAGTGCATTTAAACACTCTCCTGCTTTCCAGGCTGTAATCCCTCCTTTTTCTCAAAGGGGCCTTTCCCCTTTCTGGGGAGAAAACATCACATGGGTCATCTCCCCCACCACGCTGAGAGGTTGTTCGTTCGTTTCTCACCCCCATGTCCTCCCAGGATAGCACTGCTTTTGTAGTGCCCTCACTCAGGCTCTGACAAAACCATAGTACTGGATGCAGGGGGGCGGGAATTAAAAAAAAAATAATAAAAATAAACAAATCCACCCACAAACATGTCTGCTTTTAGAAGTATCTCAGTATCTCAATAGTACTTTAAAATACCAACATTAGCCATAATTATTGATTCTTAAGTTAAAAAGTTAGAAATAGAAAGGAGTTACATTTGTTTTCATACAAATAGCCAATAAAAATGAATTCCAATTAGGTAAATACACAGTACTCTTATTAAGACAGTTACAGAAAAATGAGAAATTCTTCAGAAATTAGGTGTTTAAAATTAACATGAAAGGTATGTAAAGCAAAAAAATATCTATGTAAGTAGAAAAAAAAAATCTAACCACTGGCTAGATAATATTTCCTTGGATAATGCACAGCATGAAGAATAAACTCAGCATGGAAAATAAAATGAAAGCTTATTTTAAATGTCAAGGATACCTACCTGGGACTAAGATCCTGAAGGAGTTGAGCCTTCTTTCTCCTTTGATTTCAGTTTTGCTTCACATTCTTTGCAAACATGATGACAATGCCTACAATATAGAAAGCAAATAAAGCACTCAAGAATTTGGCTGGATTTCTTCTAATACAACCATATAGCATACTGATAAATGTTCTTGAAGAAGTAACCTTGCCTGTGTTCTCCACTTGTAATTTAATTCACATAAACTGTAAGATTACATCTACATGTCTCTACCAGTGCCACCCCATTAATTATTATTCTTAACTACCATTTCCAGCAATCGCCAAAATATAACAGGAATGTCTAAGCAGGAAAACATGGTCCTTGTCATTGCACCTAGCCATAGTGACCAACCAGAGCTAGGAGCAAAGGTTTTGTTATAGAGGAGTGACAAGGAGTTTTGGAAGTGTGTTTTATGTGTGAAAGATGCATATGAGAAACCATTCTGGGAATGAAAAGCAGTACTGGCAGCTGAAGGAGGAGGTTAGAAGGAAAGTCAAAGTGCGATTTGACAGGAAAGAGTACTTTACATCGAGTTTAGAAAACAATGACTAAAGCATGGAGCTGATAGGGCAAGCATTGACATCTAGGACACAGGGTTGCAAGGAGGAAAAAATGCCTTTGCAGTCGGTGCTCTTCGTGATTTGACATGACAGTGTACGCTCAGACAAAGTAAAGGAAGTTGAAATGTGTGTTAAGGTTGAAATTGTTGTTAAAGTATGAGAATAGTGTAAAAAAAAATAATCTGCAGTATAGTTGGCCTGATGTATGGTACCAAGGAGGACTCAAAGGCCCAGGTGATATCATAGAAGATTGTGTGACACTTTGTGAGGAACAATGTTAAGTGAAACGAGAACTGGTAACTGTTGTACCATCACGTTTCAAAAGTACAATAATTTGATCTAAATCAAGGTTTTCCTAGTAACAGATATTACATTGAGTGTAATTTGCATTTTCCAAAGAATATTTAGTAGCTCCTAATACTGTCACATGTAGTCTAAGAACATAAGAGAAGTAGTACCTCATGACCTGACCACAGCATTTACATTCATAGTTTTGCTGCATCATCTCTACTATTTTTAGACTATTTTGATCTAGGAATAATTATTTAAATAAATACAAACCTTTTCTTTTTCGGACCATAACCACTTTTCTGGAACTTTTTTTGGCATTCTCCTATGTATGACATCTTTCCTATGCCAAAGCCTAAGACACCAGCAACTACAAAAGCAGATAACAAAACATTAATGCATGAGTTTACATCAAGAGTCCACAAGTAGCTACAGTTTAATCCTATGATGAAGTGTATGTAGCATGTTTTCTCCAAGAATGTTACAAGCATATATAAAGTTATACAGGGATTATTTCGAAATAATAGGATATTATTTTTAGAATAAAAATATTACTTCAACATCCTCAATTTTCCATTGAACTTCTGCTGTAAAAGGAATCAGCTCCATTTCTTGCCATTTAAAAGTCACATTACTGTCTTGTACAGTCTCTGTGCTTTTTTTTATTTTGTCAACACAGTCATAAACTAGACAGGATATATCAAATGAACATATGGAAAGGAACATACTATATTCTATAGCAGAGTACAGTTGTTCCTTGATATTGTAAACTATGTGATCTGCTAAGCACGGGTGATTATATATTTATAAAACAAAGGTGCTGTGCAGTTTTTACCAAATTGAGAGGATAGGTTAAGTAAATATTAGCTAACACTGAGTATGTTTTCATTACAAAAATCTTATTTCATATATATTTATTTCATATATATTTATGTTTAAACTCAAGAGAATTCTGGTTTCCCAAATCACTCTGGTACATCTCATAATTTCCAAAAAGGAAGAGTTTGAGAAGAGATTCAGAGAGATGCATCTGGGGCTCTGCACATCGCCTGTAAATAATCTTTCCTTATTGTAGAATTAGGTCCAACTTACTTGCCATCTTAGGTAATGCTCCAAGTTTTGGGTTTGCTGACAAAATGCCTACAAGAAAAGAAAATAGAATGCTTATTCAATTGAGAAATTCACCAGCCTTCAATATCAAAGATGGTACTTTTCATACAACCTTTTTCAGTTCTGCAGGTGAAGAATGTACAAAAAAATATAAAATCCACTTAGATTTAGGAACACCAGGACATTTTGCATTCCACTAGTTCTTAGTGCATCTGTTTTGGTGCAGTCCTAAATCACAGGAGGAAAAACGTATCTGGAATTTGCAGGACTCATTTCAGGCAGTGGTTTGGAGTGTGAATCGATATGAAAGCAGCATAGGCTCCCAGTGGCGACACCTGCAGCACTGCAGGAGATGATGGTTCATGTTTCAGCACAAACCAACCTTATATGTAATAGTGATCTCAGGTCTCTTACTTAGGTTCCTGCTCCTTATGCTGAGAGGAGCAGTCCCAAACTCCTCTGCGATAGTCTCCTGATGGTATTGATCAGACTAGGGTAAACTGTACCACAGATACCTATCTGCCTCCATCTGGAGGGGAGAGATCCTACTAACAAACTGGCCTTTAAGAGAATACAGTGTGATGAACAAGTAATAAGACTAAAAGATTGTTTTTAGGTTTTCCCACCAAAATCCAGCTCTCCCCAGTTAGCACCAGGAACTGGAGCCAGTATGCCTCTGATAGCGTGTGCCTGGCATGGGAGCACCATGCTGTGGAGGGGAGCTCCACGCAGCAAGATTGCCATGGCAAGGAGAAGGGACGCAAACACAGGATTCGCTGCTACATTCATTCAGACAGTATTGATGAGGCCCTGAAGGAAGCTCTAGCTTCTTCTAGAGCCAATGTGCTGCAATCGTCTGAGAGCAGGCAGTTATACAGAGGAGCATTCAGCCTGGAATGAGCCTGGAAATGTCCAGGTACAATGGAGAAAAACTACAAAGATGATCCAGTGCCAGAGCATGCCGGCTACTGTGACCACTCCACGCCCTTCCCATCACTGCTCACCCTTTTCAGCAACATGTATGCAATCCCTTGCCTTCCCTCACACACTTACCCTTGCCCTTTCCCTCCCCGTCTGCCTACAAGCTCACAGGTCAAGGATGCGTCAGGCAATCCGTGTTAGCCCCCTGTGGTCTAGCACAGCTCTCAGGTTCCCCAGTCTGGTCCTCTTGACCGTCTCAGTTTAGAATTGAGTGAGTTGAGGCAGGAAGCATGGCCATAGTGGCTGGATAAAAGCAAGGGAATTGCAGCCACACACTGAGAAAAGGCTGAGCCATTTCCACCTCCTCCATTTGCTCCTCCACCTGTCCCTTGGAGCCCCTGCATTCTTGTCTCCTTCCTTCAGCCCCTGTGATTTCTCTCTCCTCCCATCTGCTGTAGCTGTAACCAGCTGCCGACACAGGCTGAAGGACCAACTTATTTTCTCCTGTGGGATATACTCATCAAAGCAGTCTTCAGGGTGGATGCCCTTCACCCGAAACACTATCCTCGATCTTGTTATTAGTCCTGATCTCCAGAAGGGGAACTCAAGGTGCAATGTGTAGAAGTAGGCTCACTCACCACATAAACAGAATACAATTTTCTTTTGTGTTGGCCTGCAGATTGCAGGCCACCCCTATAAAGATCCCTCTGTCTCCTCGCTTTGGCAGCATTCCTCGTCCCTTTGCACCAAAGCTGTATTCATATTGCTGTGTGGTCACTGTAAAATGACTGCCAGCATTATTCAAACAAACAGAGTTACAGCACCAGATTCAGATGCCCCTGCTCAGGTTGTACAATCTCCTGCCCCACAAGCAGCCCCAGGGAAGCCTCTACCTGAGTACACGTGATCATGGTGACAGAATCTAGTTGCCAGTCTTTTAATTCATGAACTCTCTTTCCAGTTATGTTCTTTCAAAAGAATGAATGTGGCAATGCATACAGAATGAACAAATAATTATAACAACCATGATGAGTGAGAGGAATATTGATCTTGAAAAACAGCAGGCACTGGGGAAATTTGTATTTCAGTTGGAATTCCAGAGTCTCAACTTCATAACTTAGGCCCATCGTGTATTTTTTTCTACTTACCTTTTGAGACTAGTCCCTGGGCGACAAGCATGCTCCCAAGAGACAAAGGAAGAGCTGTAAAAATTAAAAGAAGGAATGTATCTGGGATCAGCCAAAAATTGTTACTTATTTGCTAAATATAGAACTTAAATCAATGTTTTATATGATTATAATGTTGAATACACTACTTATCTTCGAAAAACTTGCACATTGTACTATCTTAATTCCCTACAGCTCCTGCTTGTTCAGATTACTAGCTCTTCAAAGCAAGGATGCGCTCACACATTGCCAGACCTTAGGCATGCTGTGACATCCGGAGCTAACACATTACATGTATGTACTAAATATTAGCTTCTGTAATCTTAGTAACTCCCCTCCATACTGCAACACAAGTAATGACAGCAGCTCCAGTTAAATGCTGAAATACGTTTCAACCTTCTTAAAAAAATGTATAATCTAGATACAAACCGACGTGGTGAGCTTAAAAGGCCCTAAAACACCAAATATTAATCTTTTAGATGTCCTAGCACTAAAGAATTTCACAAGCCCAAGCCACCTAGCCATGCCTCCCTTTCATTCAAATGCACACATAAGTACACACAAAAAAGTTAAAAAATCCTATTGTTTTAATTACTGACTTTATGAATAATGCCACCTCTATGATTGTTAAAGTTCATATTAAAAAAGAGTTTAATTCAGCCACCTTTACCTACAATTATTACACAAATAATCTAATAATTTTATACTGAAGTATTCCTCAGCTTAGACTAAGGTGGCAGAGTTAGCCCCCAGTAATATTCAATTTTAAAAATAACGTACTGCAATAAGTGTCACAGCATTTTGCAGCCAATTTTGCACAGCTAAATCAAGAAATCATTACTGGTGTGTTAAGAAAAAGCTTGGATCACTCACCTCTGTACCAGAAACTTTCCTTTTTGCATTCTTTGCGGATCTTTGCAATCTCTCCATCGCTGTGAACTTGTGAGCTGGGACAATAGAACATTGGCTGAAAGGATAAAGCAGAGTTAGCTTACTGAATTTAACCTCATGGGAAGAAAAAAATAAATCCATTAAAGAAGACAAATAATTTAACATGTGAATAAAATACCATGCAAGAACCATCCAAACAAGCCAAACTCCTTGTTTTGTTGATAGCAGTGTGATTTAATGCTTTACAACCTGATACAGTCACAGAAAGAACTACACAGGTTAAAACTGCTCATCCTGTTGACCTACACTTGCCCAAAATAGCTCAGTTGCTACTTACCCCAGAAGTATGTTGCTTTATTTCTGTTGGCCATTTTATTCTCATGAGCTAAAACAGCTTTCTGAGAAAGAACTTACAGGAAGTAAAGTCAGTGTGGTAGTTTCTAAAAACGAAATTCTGCCCAGTTCTGAAGTCAGTTCAAGTTCAGCAAGAGTAGATTTTGCAGGTATTCAGAACAGGATCAGCACGAGCTCTGTCAGATTCCCCTGACTAGCCTGACTTTCTCTCTGAGCAGATTAAACATATTTTTGACATTAACTGAAGTCAATTATACCGGCTCCACCTTTGTAATAATTAGCTTGCCAACAGGTTTGGTTTTAGTTTAATGGATGGCTCTTTTTTCCCCCTTTTATTTTAATTGAAGAAAAAGTGTCAGTATTCTCTCTTTCATTCTGCTGTCCTGAGTATTGAGATGTGATTATCAGTAGATTAGTTTTCTTTCTTTAAGAGATGACTTGGTTATCACTGTTAGCACTTATGGTATCATTACTGGACATCTGAAATATACAGGACAGTCCTTACTCCCAAATTCTTGTTCCAGAATCTCTGTAGCCATTACCAGGTAAAATTAGCTGCAATGTTAGCATTTTTCTGTAAGACCGCACCACCTACAAATGTACCTATTATTGAAAGCAAAAACTTACATTTCAAAGAACAAGTGGTAGCTTGGGAAAAAGAGCACATTGGGCTACTACAGGACACTGACTCATTTTATGCCCAGCTGGCCCATAATTTTGTAAACATAACAAGAAAATGCATTTATTAGCTGCAGCCACCCATTTCACATTTTAGCTAATTAATAATCTTGATCCTTTTTCAAGCACTGCTCCCACTGAAGTTAACAGCAGTGCTGCTTGCATAAACCCCAGAGCACTGACTTCAAACTGATTTCGCAGAAAGGTCACAACAAATACAATAAAATCCAAACAGGTTAAGTGAAAGATAAGGTAATGAGTGCCAGAGCCTTGAGATCAGCAACAGGCTTTGCAACCTTTCTGCCCCAATACACACCCTGCCAGGCTGTTAGTTGGGGCTCAAAGTCAGCTCTCATATGGCGTGGTTGTACAGCACTGAATTAGATTTCTGTGAAAACAGGTAAGCTGGGAGAAAAGAGCTGCAAGAAGCTGTGCCCCAGGTCTCCACCTCTTGCCTCAGGAACTGAGTTTAAGGTCACGCCCTTGCCATAACTGTGCTGTAGGTATGCCTCTACCTGGCTGTTTGCCATGAGGATCTTACCTTGCCTTGCTAACTTGACCTCCTGCTTTACCCTCATGCCTGCCTTATTCCTACGGACTTGCCCAGCAATCAATCAGTGTTGTCTGACCCTGGTTAATATCACTGGATCTACCGTGCTCCTCTTTTTTGGGTACTGTGGGATTGTCCTCCTTGCACACGAGGTCGCAACCCCTGCCTGCCTTGCTGCCACCTGGGGCTCCCAGGTCACCTTTCCTCACAGAGCAGCCCAATTCTGCTGCTCTCTGATGGCGACTGATTAGCAGCAAGGTCACAGCACTTTTAAATTCATTTTGGGAAAAAGGAATCCCCACTACATGCTTATGGTAAAGTCTGAACCCCCATGGGTAGCTGACTTCTCCAGCTGAGGGGATCTCTCAGCTTCTGTAAAGCACTAGGGCAGGTTCGTGCTCTGAATATACACATACACACACATACACACCTCGACACGGGGACAGATTATACTGAACGAATACTCAGACACCAAGGCTCTGACAGTTTGTAACTGATGTAATTCACGTAGCATAAATAATGAGACCGCTACCACAGGCTTAAGACTCAAAAATGCCTTGTCTTCTGACCAGTGAATAAGGAGGTAGCACACATAGCCCTTTCTTCTCTTCATCTACACGCTTAAGGTAAAGGATCTCTGTTTCTCTCTTCAGTGAGAATGAACAAAGCAAACTCCCACTTATTCCCTAGCAATAGCATCAAGAAGAAAAGGGAGGAAACAGCTTACCCATCCAACTTGCACAGGTGGAGGTGTTTGGTTTTCCTCTTTGGGTGTTTCGGCAGACATCGTCTTTCTCCTTCTTGTCCTTTGCTGCTGTCCTTAGTCAGCAGAAATGATGTATTTTATACCTGGCTACCTCTCTTTCTCCTAGGTACAAAGATCAGAAGCCAAAGTATCATATTAACAGCACAAATTCAGTGTTTACCTAGCGCCAGTAATGTCCAAGTTAAAAGGAATACAACTCTATTTTCTCACAGCAGATTGCATCCAGTCACCCAGTTACGTGTAGTTTACAGCACAGTAACAGTATATTAGCAATATAAAGTTACAGGTAGCTGAATTCAAACAGGAAAGTTATTAAGTACAATCATATGCTGAAACATCACATAGCACAGCACTCTCAATCATAAAGAAATGAGAACAAATGTGAGTAAGTCCGCCAAAACCTTCCTAATGTTGATTGTATTGTAGGTCAAAGATTTAGCATCTTTAATGTGCTGACAGAAATCCCTGTACTGGTTCTGCCCCCATTCCTGATGTGAAGTTTTGATTCCACACACCTGTAATGCAAGCCTAACACAAACCACACCTGAATTTCCAACAAACACAATCCGTTAGCAGATGAAAATTTGAAAAAATAAATAAATAAGAACAAATAGAAGCCATCTTCCATGTCTTAAATTTATGCTAGTAGGGAAAAGCAAGAAGGAATCCTGTTTATTTCTAGAGTAATTCAAACACCAAAGCTGCAGTTTTTAACCTAGCTTCCTCCTGCATGGTCTGTCACTTTCTTCATCATCAGAGACAGCATGGCTGCTTTTCAGAAAGTACCTTTTTGGGCTTGTGGCACTGAGCAAGGCTGAAGTGGCTGGGAAGGACAGGGTTAAATAGGAAGCATATGCAACAATTTAATAACCTGAATGGTTTTTGGCATTCAAAATATTACTGTATAAACCATTTCCTGTGCTTATTTTTGGGTCAGTTACACAGCTGTAAAGTTCATGTAGTGTCTGCTTCACGCACATCGGACTTTCAGACAGCAATGCTTTTTTAAGCGATGAAGCAGAAGCAACGTGACCTTCTCTCACCTTGGTAAAAAGTCTCATTTAAGCCTTGTACTCATGCAAATCTGCAAAACCAGTGGACTTCTTTCACTGCTCAGCTTTGCTTTATTCTCAGCCACTCTCAAAAAACTGGAAACGACCCTTGTGTATGAAAAAAATTAAGTTTGAAAATCCACATAATGTTGGGAAAACCACCAACCCTTCACTGTCTGCCTCACCCTGACTAAAAGCAATTTAATTTTGTGTCAGTCTCTTGTCACTCAATGTAAAAAAGGAGATCAAAGACGCAAAAAATGCATAAAACTTTAAAGTGATTTACGTCAATCAAAGGCACGACATTTTCATATTCTTATCTGCTCAAGAAGCCTATCTGTGCAGACGGTTGCATAAAAAGCCTGACTGGAAAGTACTAATGACTGATGAGGTTTTTAACTGCTGCAACTGATATAAATGTAACATCCTCATAAAGACAAAAATGCTGAGATTAAATAATATATAATAAGTAATAAATAACACAAAAATATTAGAAGAGTTCAGTTGGAAGAGACCTACAAAGTTCATCAAGTCCAACTGCCTGTCCACTTCAGGGCTAACCAAAAGTTAAATCCATATCACTGAGGGCATTACTTAAATATCTTTTGAACACTGAATGGCTTGTAGCCTGTCATTAACCTCTTACATTTTCTTCAGAATACATTGCTCCAGAATTATAAGTTATTAAGCGACGCTTCCTCTTCAACATAATGAAGATTCCCCCAGATAGGTAGCCTTTTAAGCAGCTTCCTGGTATCTCTCCCACTTGGGACTAAAGCTGAAAGCTGTAACGGCAAGAATGTGGCAAAAGGAGGGAGTCCAGGACATCAAAACATGGTTAAACTCAACTACTGATACTAGTACTCAGCACACATGCTGCCTCCTACCGGAGGAATTTAAAAGTGGTCCAGTATTTTGGAGCAGTGTGTCCCTGGAAAGACAACCACCATTCTCCAAAATAACTTTATTTGCACTGAGCTGTTGAACAAACATAATTTTTTTTGCACATTTTTACTGTAACATTATTGCCGTTTTCTCAACCTAACTATGCAATTGTTAAGGTATGAATGAACTGTATATGTTCTTAACTGCCTTGGGAAGAAATCCCCAACTATGCACTTTTTATTTAACTTAAATGCCCATATAACACATAAATGAATCAATGTGGTTTGTAAGGATCCAGTATTCAAAAAATGTTTTCCTGTTTTATGAGAAATGTTCTGGATCATTTATTAATTTACAGATGAAAAGGGTACTAAAAGACTCCTGAAAGATCCCTCAATTTTGATTCTTCTAACTGGTGGATAAAGAAGCAGTATGCAGGAAGATAGCCCAGTTCTTCTGGTTCGGATTGTGGGAGTTGCCAGCTTCATCTCCCTTGTTTTCAGTAAGTCTCCTTCCAGATAGGAATTGTGGCTGCGCAATTTCTAAGGTGGAAAAGAAAGGAAGAACTCAAGGAAGAAGGCGGGAAGCAGAACTTGCATGTTAATTGCTCCATGAGGTTGACTTCGATCTATAGTAGAGACACCAAGCATTCGCCTGGGGCAGGTGCCACTGAAGTACAGCAATCTCTGTGACACCTAGCTACCACCTCGGAGACCCCTTTTAGGACTGAGCGTCCCCCTTCCCTTCCCTTCCCTTCCCTTCCCTTCCCTTCCCTTCCCTTCCCTTCCCTTCCCTTCCCTTCCCTTCCCTTCCCTTCCCTTCCCTTCCCTTCCCTTCCCTTCCCTTCCCTTCCCTTCCCTTCCCTTCCCGGCCAGGCCCCATCCCGCAGCCCGGCCTCCACCGCCATCTTCTGGCCGCGGCCGCGCCCTCGTTGCAGGGGCTGCGACAGGTTCCCCCCCCCTCGGCCATTTCAGAGCGCCCAGTGTTGCTTATCCGCTTTGGTTTGAACGCTGTGATTAAGCAAGTCGATAGATTGTTATTTTGCACTTTAATAAAACCTGTCCTGTTTCTTTATTTTACAGCGAGGCAGTTGTTTTCAGTAGAGTAGCCTAAATGACGACACAGCACTTCAGTGCTTGTCGTGAAATTAATAGCTCGTGAGATCAGCATTACACTGCCTTCTCTTGCATGACCTCAGTGTCTATATTTCATAATAAACATGACAGGTAAGTCACAGTTTACTTTCCTAGGTCCGAAAAGGCTTTCAGCTTCCAGAAATCCTGGCTATTTGGAGCCCCTTTCCCCAGAGTATTATCTCACTCTTACCAGCCAAGCCAGAGCATTGCTGCTGCAAAATGTCCTCTTTGTGTGGGGATTTGGCAAGAATTATGTCCTAAAACAGCTCTTATAAATCCTAATCTTATAGGTTAAAACCTACATCTCCTATGATCTAAGAGGTACCCTTTAAATCACACACACACACACACACAAATAAATAGATACTGCCTATATCCTATTGTGAAAAACAACATTAAATAAGCAAATCCCATGTGGCTTGAGACCCTAGAAAACAATTATTTCTTAGCTGGTTCAGCTTAAACTGGTCATAATATGAAAGAACAGTGGAACAATTTCCTTGTGGGACATACTTGTTCCTGGGGATGGTATTTGCTTGGGTTATTGTACCTTCTTGTGCAAAAGTGCTGATTAAAAATCAGGTTAGAATTCTTTTTAGTTTTAACTTGGAAGACAGAATTGCATATCATAATTGAATATGTCTCTCAAACACTATTTTTCCTTAAGATTTACCAGAAAGTACCCCAGAGCTATGAAAATGGACAGAACTTGATAGATAGAAACCAATAAATGCGGGTGCTTCAGATTAATAAACACAAAACAAAAGAGAGATCCTTGACCCTCCTAGGAAAGCAAAACAAAACAGAACACCTTTTTTTATCAAGACAAAAAAAGGCATCAAAAATAACCAATAATGAGTTCAGTGCTTGGCTATGGAATTTTCTATTGTCAGACTACAAGGATGTCAAGGAGCTGAAGCTTCACAAAGTGGGATAAGTATCACAGAATCACAGAATTATCTAGGTTGGGAGAGACCTCAAGATCATCGAGTCCAACCTCTGACCTAACACTAACAAGTCCTCCACTAAACCATATTGCTAAGTTCAACAAAGATGTACAGGATTCATGGCTGCTTCTCTGAAGAACCTTTTAGAAAACAATGCAGGTTTGCCAGGAACCTGAAGTTCATCACATACACCAATGGCAAAGCTTTCCCAGTGTGCGTATTTAACATTAACACTCCACATATGCATACAGCAGATGAAAGAAGAGGAACTGTTACAAAGCATGATAAAAATGGTTTGTTTGTCTATTAGAAAAACACAAAGACTGTTAATTGCTTGAAAAAAATCCCCAAGAAACAAAGACCTGAAGTAATGCAAGCACAGTGTAGTTAAAAAAATGTATCAGTAATAAAAGCATTTAGAGCATGGAAAACCACATAAGAATTACACTGTAGGGCATTGTTCTCTTGCTAATGGAAATAGGAGTTCAGGGTGAATGAAAAGACATCAAAAGTCACAGCAGGGAACAGTCAACATACTTCTGAGTAAAACATTAAACCCTGTCCTCACTATGCACAAGAAATCTTGTAATATTATTTTTAAGCCCTTGCTTATTATCTGACTCTTGGATATATTTGTTTCTATTTTACACTCAGTCTGGCCTATCTTTTAATAGATACGAATGTCTGACAATTATCAGATGTTCAAGGTTTAGGATTTTCACTTTTCAGAGTGAAGAAGGCAGTGAAATGACCACAGGGTTTTGCCTTCTCTAAAGCTGTACAGCTGTATGCATTCTGCCTCTTCTACAGCAAAGTCCTGCAGTACCAGCAGATTCAATGGGGTTATAAGTGCTCAAATCCCATAATCAGTCTTGATTGTACTTGACATTTCTAATACATACTAAAGTGAATGAAAACCCATTCTACTGAGTACAGTACTGGAATGACTCTGGAGCAATGTTAGTGTATGTCCCATGGTACGTTTTACTGAAAAAGGTCTCTAATGAGTCTCAGTGTTTACTAGTCCTGTTTTTATTGCTAATTTACTAGAGATGAGGTTATGCTTCAGCACAGGTGTAATAAATGAACGGTATTTTGT